AGCACACAGTGATGGGGTGTAGGGTAGAGTCAGTCTGTCGGGTGTGGGAAGAGGAGGAGGTCACACAGCACACAGTGATGGGGTGTAGGGTAGAGCCAGTGTGATCCTAAAAGGAAACTTCAGTTACAGATAATTTTTCTTTAACTTGAAACCAAGTGAATGGAGATTTCATACCACCATTGAAGGAGTTTTAGCCTCATATCAATCACTGGCTAAAACTGCTTCAAATCCACATAAAATTCTAGACACAACTTTCTGTGCAGGAAGGTCAGCCTTTCAAAGGGTTTCAGATATGTACTGTCAAACTCAAATCATCAGAGGCCAGGAAAGACGGGTACAGAGATGCTATGAAGGATCTCAGTCAGAGAGGATCTGATGTGACAAAAACAGCATCCATCACCCTGCAGATAAAGCTATCTTAGTTCCTTTCATTGTTTCAGACTGCTTAGTTAATTTAGACAGGTGAACTCAGGGCACAAAGCTGTGGTAATGGGCTGCTGTTTGACAGTGCTCCAGGAGTATTTATATATTACAACAGCTAGCTAAATGCTCTCAGCAACCTCAAGCATGTTACCCAAGACAGAACCCAAGATGGGCCTCATAACTTCGCCTTCTGGTGTATAGCTTTGTCTGGCTCTTCCTGACACAGAACAGGCCTGGTCTCGATCAGCTGTACAGCTGCAGAAATGATGGAATTTCACTTACGGGGGTTAGCTGCAAATATTCCCATGGCTCCACTTTGTTTTCTGGGACCACTGGCTTTTGACAAAGTCAGATGTCATGCTATGAAGATGCATGCAGCTGTCTACAGAGGTCCATGTGGAGAGGAACCAGCCTCCTGCCAATACCCATAATCACTCACATCCATGTGGACATGTTATTTTGAAATTGGTCCTCAGTCCCAGTAAGCTTTCACATGATAACAGCTGACAGCATGGCTGTAACATCTAGTGATGAAAAAAAGTGGCTGGACAGCTTGGGTATGTACTTTTACATTCCTTACCTGCAGAAATTGTGATGGAAAATAAATGTCTATTGTTTTAAGTTGCTTAGTTTGGGGTGATTTTTAATGTGGCAGTAGATAATTAAAGCTGTGGCCAACAAGCACATGTTCCAGACATGTCAATTTATATATCTATGCCAGTGTCCACCTCATCTCTATATTACCTACATCAATATCTGTATTAGATGCAACATACTTTTCTGTAGAATAAATACACCTCCTTATTTCATTCATTCATTTTTTTGGTGGAGCATTCAGCAAATGTCAGGAACTGTGCTGGGTTTCTGAGACACAGTGAGCACTCTCTAGGTGCCTCATGCACCTAGATTGTAGATTTTTAAAAGCAAGTTCTTAGATTCACCTCAGGTTTGTCAGCAATTGGCAATACCCATAGAAAACACCCCATGACTCAGTGGTTCCATTTTGCTCAGTGTTCTCCTGTGTCTCACCGCCAAGCCTTGTGCAGCTCAGAGAACCACTCGTCTGCTCTCTTTTTCAGTAGTGTTTACAAATTAGCACACAGAGGAAGACTTATGTTTTATTCACACTTTGGTGAGTCCTCCTCCACTCCCTCCCCATCTCCCTCATGCTGCTCCTGCCAGCTCCCTTTCTGCCCTTGGTAAGCCCATGCTCTCTCATGTGTCCTATGGATTCTAGCCCCCACTTTAGCCTTATTTTGCCCTTTTTCCATTCCCTTTCTAGTTTTATGATCTATTACCCCCACAGACATATATACACATATGTAAAAAGTAAAACCTAGGATATGCAATATTTGTCTGAGTTATTATGCTTAATATAACAATTTCCATCTCTATCCATTTCCTCCAAATAAACTTCCATTGTTTACATGAACCCTCTTTGATCGATCTATTCAGCTCTTGATGGACATCCGGCTGCTCTGATCTCTGGCTATTGTGAATGGCAAAGCACAAATCACTAACAAACATGGGCTAATGTGGAAATGGCTGTGTCACCAAAAGTGATCTACAGAGTCAATGCAAATCTTACCCAAATTCTAGTGACTTGCATTCTATTTCAGTGGAAGGCTATTTATTTTTTAGAATTTTACAGTTGTAAGTTGTGTGCTCATGTGGTCTGCTTCTTTCCATGCTACATAACTTGAGATCCACATCTTCCTCATTTTCTGTTTTCCTTTCTTTACTTTTGTATAGAGGCAATAGTTTGATTTTCATTTTACTGAGAAGAGTTCCATCATAGTCTCAGAAATCAATCTGTTGCCTTTCAGCTGCTGATGGACATTAGGCTGTCACATCTGTGCCCATGTCTCCTATTGAACATGTTCTCTTGGAAGCCCTTGGAGGGGAATGGTTGGTTGATCATAAGGTAGGTATATTCCCATCATTTTAAGAAATTGTCAATGTTTTCTGCAAACTGTTCTTTACTTTCCCACCAGGACAGTGAGAAGGTTCTGGTTATCACATATTTTCACCAGCAGGTAGCATGGCCAAGTCTTTCTTTTTGGTGTCGATGGTCTCTTGTAATAACACCTTTCTAATATCTAATATTGTAAGGAGCTTTCATGTGATTTTTTTCCTCACCTGTATATTGTTTTAAAACATTTGCTCATTTTGGGGTTGGGAGCTCACTCTATTTTAATGTCTAGTTCTGAGAAGCATTTATACAATCTGGGCTAAGGTCCTTTCAAAGATATTTGGTTCATGAAAGTAAGGGTGGAAAGAATTAAGATCCAGAATGGTGTGGTATGCCAGTGAGCTCTGAGAATGACGTGATTACTGCACTCTTGAATTCACACAGCTGTGGTTACCTGTGAAATATTTGCCCAAGATTAGATGCATTATTAGACTGTCATAGAGGAGAGCTGAGTTTTCTAGTCCCTGTCAACCCCCTGATTGCTAGGGGTGAAACATTTTCTTCAGTAGTGTAGCCACTGGTGAAGGGCTCAGACTTCTGAAAACAACCCTTCATTCATGCTTCTGTTAGTAGCCCTATTGTAACTCATGGGGTCAACACACACACACACACACACACACACACACACACACACACACACACAGCATGCAGGCATGCAACACTACCCTGATTGCACACCCTAAAACTATGTATTGTGATCTTTTCCATTTTTCTTTTATTTTTGAGTTGTTTTAGCTAATGTAGGTACTTGCATTTCCATCTATATATCAAAATCAATTTGTCAGTTCCTATAAAACACACTTTATAGCTATCTTGATATCATATTATGTCTTTAGATAAATTTGAGAGTTGTCAATAAATGAGTCTTCTAACCCAGGAAAATGTTATATCTTACCATTTATTTATGTCTTGTTTATTATTCTTCCGGGATGTCCTATTGTTTTCAGTATGTGGATGGTTTGTATCATTTATCAAATTTATCTCTAACTATTTTACAGTTTGATACTGCTCAAAATGTATTTTTACATTTCTTTCTTTTTTTCCTTTTATTTTATTTTACAATACCATTCAGTTCTACATATCAGCCACGGATTCCCTTGTTCTCCCCCACACTCCTGCCCCCCTCCCCTTCCCCCCAGCCCACCCCCCATTCCCACCTCCTCCAGGGCAAAGCCTCCCCTGAGGACTGAGATTGACCTGGTAGACTCAGTCCAGGCAGGTCCAGTCTTCTCCTCCCAGATTGAGTCAAGCGTGCCTGCATAAGTCCCAGGTTTCAAACAGCCAACTCATGCAATGAGCACAGGACCCGGTACCACTGCCTAGATGCCTCCCAAACAGATCAAGCCAATCAACTGTCTCACCTATTCAGAGGGCCTGATCCAGTTGGGGGCCCCTCAGCTTTGGTTGATAGTTCATGTGTTTCCATTCGTTTGGCTATTTGTCCCTGTGCTTTATCCAACCTTGGTTTCAACAATTCTCGCTCATATAAACCCTCCAATTTCTGTATTTTTACATTTCAAATGTATTATTACTGCTTTAGAAAAAAATAATTTTGTATATTGATCATTGGTTTTGATTCTTAAACTTACTTAACTTATGTATTCATTTTTTAAAAAACATTTTGATGGATTTCTTTCTTTACAATCTACCCTGTCAACCTACTAATATTGATGACTTTCAATGTTCAGTGCAATCTGGATGCTCAAAAAAAATCCCCTTTCTTATTTTGAAATAGTTTTAGATTTGAATAAGAGCTGCAAAGATTATATTTAGTACCCCTTGTTTTATCCTTTACCATTTTTGCTTAATAATAACTTTAATTTTTATGTGTTTGGATGAGATAGCACCTCCCAGTGCAAACAGGCTAGGCTCAAGCACTAAGATTATGAATGTATGATATCTTGACTGGCTGAATGAGAACACATTATAACCATGATGTACTTTTCAAAAGGGAAGAATATTAATATAATGCTATTAGCTTAACTAGAGGGTTACTTATGATTGATGCAATTTTGAGATTTTATAAAGTTAAGATTTTCTCTTTTTCATTATACCCTTCTCCTGGCATATGGTCAAGGATTCATTATTAATGGTGCATGGCCCCAGGTCTCCTTCATTCCTTTGAACACGACTTCACTCAGGTTTCTTGTCTCTCATGACCACACTCAGGAGCACACCAGTAAAGCATTTTGTATGGTTCATGTTTATCTGCTATTTTGGTCAGGAATATATTCATAATTATTTAGGGGAGCTATTATTTTTTATATCTTGTATTCATCATTAATAAATTGAATTTTTAAAATTAATTTCTGGGTTTGTTGTTTCATATCATGACATTCATTTTTCATTTTCCTTCTTATTCTAACAAATTGAACAGTTTAAATTTGAAATATAAACCAGTCTTTTATCTTTGATGGCTCAGTGATCATGTGTAGATGAACTTCTAAGTGGTCTTATTAAATAAGAAACATGGAGCCAAATGTAGGGTGAAAGCCTTAGATCAGGGAAATAGGGAAAGCCACCAGCTAACCTTACCTCACCATCTGTAGCTTCTAAATGCATGTTACTTCCTGTCTACCCACGCCTTTATTGCTGTTGTGCCCTCTCATTGGCTATCTTAGCCCAGCTACCTCATTTCCTCTTCCTATACAGCTCTGTCACTTTCTGTCTGTCTGTACAGACCTCCAGGTCTCTATGGTTGGTACTTACTGGGATTAAAGGCATGCATCACTACTTGGCTGTTCCCCAAGTGTGGCCTTGAACACACAGAGACCCTGCCTGCTAAGTGATAGGATTAAGGGCGTGTGCTGCCTGACTTCTTCTTTACTTAAACTGACTAGCCTTTCCCCCTGATTTCCAGGCAAGCTTGATTTATTAATGTAAAATTAAAAATCACCACTTTTCAGCACAAATAAAATATCACCACAATCATGGTCTTTTTCATTCATCTTTGACTCCATTCAGTACTATTTTAGTGAATTTTTCTTGCGTGTATCCTCAGAAGCCATTGATCTAACATTGAATTATGATAATATTTGTCTCTCAAGTTTTAGCTTCATATAGTGACTTTAGACATATTCTTACTTCCTTTTGGACAATTTGTGTTAAGTTTCTATTACCTCTTCATTAAGTACTTAACAAAATTCATCAGTGAAGCCATTTGGTCTTAGAACTCACTTTGTGGAAAGAATTTAATCATAAGATCAGTAACTTAGTAGATACAGAGCCATTTATATATTTTCTTTGTCACATTATTTTCAACATTTTTTCAGTTTTGTGAAAGTTTTCCACTTGGACTAAGTTATCTTCTTCAAGACAGAGTTGTGAATATACTTCATTGGAAAGTGTCCCTGTATATAATTTAAATGTACATAGGACCATTTTTCACTTATGAGACTTCTATTTTGTGGATTACCTTTAAAAGAAAGTCTGTCTCAGGGCCAGTGAACTAGCTCAGAGGTGAAGTGCTTGCCACTAAGCTTGATGACCTGAGTTTGATCCCTGGGATTCACACAGTGGATGACGAAAACTGACTCCCACAAGTTGTCCCATGACCTCCTCATGGGTACCATATTGATACAGGACTACTGGGGTGCCTTTGAAAATGACAGAGTCTTTCTTGACTCTTGGCCTTGACTTAAGGAACTAGGCCCTCAGAAAATCTGATGGTCACCAGAGCCAATGGCTTTTGGGTTCTTGCTTCTCAGTTTGAAGAGTGAAATTCACTGACTGCAGAAGATGAGATGGAAAGGGAGTGAGCACGTCAGTCCCGCTGGCCATACTATGATGTGTCCGGAAGAGTCCTCTTAGTTTCAGACACAGCCTCTGCAAGCAGAGATGTTCTCTTAGCAGAAGAGAAGGTGTACCAAGAGCCAGAGGTCTCCGTAGCACCCCCACCTCCAGCTAGGACATTCTTGGAGCTGTCGCTTTGGGGCCTCTGTCCCACCTGATCAATTGCTATCTCCTGTTCACAACAGGGACATGCCTCCCCCAACAAATAAATATATGCAAAATATTTAAAAGAATACTAAACAATCTCTCTCCTGGAATAGTGTGCCTTTTATCAGCTTCGTGAGGGAGCAGCTCTGGAATGCAGCTCATTCATTTTCTCTCTGTCCTTCCCCTCTTACCTTTGTTAGTGCCACTGTCCCACTCTTTGTTTGGCTTGCTCTTCATACCAGCTTCTCTAGAGGGACAGATGACTGTTATACATCACTTCTCTATGAGTGTCCTGGTGTGTGGTCCCAGTGGAGGCCACCAATGCCTTGGGTAGACACGGTGCTATTAACTGTAACATTCACTCCAGATTCACAGTAACATTTAACTTGCATGTATTCAGGAATTCCTCAAGTATCAATTTTCCTTGTTTTCTAACTAACTTACTGAATTAATGAATGGAATTAACCTATAGTTGACTTTATTGTGACCAAATCCATGTATTTTGTATGTCAAAAGTTTATTTTTGATTGAGACTTGTTTTACAGTCCATATATAACCTATGGTAAATGTTTCATGCATGCTTGTACAAAGGATGTATTCTGCCATTTCAGGGTATAGTGTTCACAATATCAAGTGCATATACTTGCCTACTTAGAGTTCTTCAGGAATCTAGACTCTTACTAATTTTACATCCCCTCATTTCTGCAGATTAGTGGAGAAGACTGAAATCTTCAGTTGATTTGTTTACTTCCTTCTGCTAGATTTTGGGTCACACCCCCCCAAACCCTGCGTTCAGGGCCGTGTATCCAAAAGCATTGCTACCTCTCAATGAGTTGGGAACGCTTTGTTGGAAAATGCTCCTCTCTGGGGCACATTCTTTTAAGGCTTATTAGGCTATGCCACTTCATTTCCCTTGGGAGCTTGGGAGGCTCGTGACATCTCTGGCATGTACCGTTGGTACTCAGGGGGACCCTCCCAGGCAGCCCAGACCTGGCTCTGGATGCCTGCTCACT